GACATATCGAAGTGGTTGATCATAGCGGGATGATGCGGGAGAACGTGGTCAGCCTCTCTTGGATTTGACTCCATGTTACCTCGTAAACCCCCAGGAAAAAAAAAACACTGAATTCAATTTAAGGTACATATTTACATATATATATATATAGTTGGTGGATATATATATATATATATTTAATTATATATATTTATTTATTTGGGTGTATAATTATATATATGTATGTGTGTGTATGTGTATGTATATATATATATACAAGGACACAGATATTATTCAAATGTGTGTGCACATTGAGATCCACAGGTTGGAGCCACAGAAGGAACTCACCGCCTTGGCCTTCATTCGACTCGTGGGGGCAGTGCACTTAGTCCCCTGGTTGGGCCGGGGGCCAGGGTTGTTACAAGGTGGGTTCCCCGTAGTTATTGGTGTATAAACCTTTTAACCCCCATTATAATCCATTATATATAACTATAGACAACTATAGTATCATAGTGATATTATCATTAAGTTGGCATATGAACCTATTAACATCCATGAAAATTAACTATAGATATTATAGAAATATTATTACAGTTATACTCATCAGAAAACCGTAATGAGTTCACCGTTAACCTACTTTTTTATATGTCAACTGAAAACTGGGTGGTGATCACCACCTCAATTGGGATTTCGGTGGATCCCAGTGGACGAAAACAGAGAGAGAGAGAGAGAAAGATAGATAGAAGAGTTGTAAAATCACCTTGGGCTTAAATTATATCACTATAGTTATATAATGGGTTATATATTTATATATATATATCACTATAATTCCCATTGAATTTCCATGGATGTTAATAGGGGTTCATATGCAAACTTAATGATAAAATTGATAATTTGGTTCTATGAAAAGTTGGAGAGTTTGATTTTTTTGATGACAGCATCCATACCATCCTGGAAATATGACAGAATATACTGAAATATGTTTCTATCTTTTTGGGGTTGGCCCTATTCAGGGAGGCTACCTGGGCACCACAGCTTCAGGTGGCAGAAAATGTCCAACCTGTGAGTGAGATGGAAATCATTTGCTTTGCAGTAAGTTATCACTTACTATTGCTATATGAACCTTTTTAGACAGGGTTAACAGTCTTGTCGTTATAGGGAATTGACAGTGGTCATGACAAGGATTCTAAATGTTTTGTGATTTTTTTGGGTGCAAACATGCCGTTTGGACGAAAGGACCTTGGTCATGGCATGTCATAGCCGTGGAACTTGTCATTTTCAGGTTCCCTGACAGTTTGATGGCTTCAGTCAGTGACTAAGCACGGCAGTTGCTTCCTTCTTGATGCTGAACAATGGCCCCTATTCCAACCAAAGGAACATGGAGGAAAACAACGGAAAATCATGTGAACATTCATACGGAGGTTTTTCTTAAAATGGGGGAACCCCTAAATCATCCATTCATCCATTTTAATGGGACTTTCCATTATACACCACATACACCATACATTTTGGGGATCGCCCATTGGAAACCGCCCGACCAGCCACGAGGTGATGTATTCCTATGGCCCAGCCTGGTGCGCGGGCTTCAATCAATGGGGCGCCTCATGGTTTTCCATGTGCTTCATCCTCACCGGGTGACTGGCCGAGGGCGGCTTTAAAGCGGGCCGGGGGGTCATAAGCTGTACTAGCTGGAGTCATGGGGATCATATGAAATATATTGAAATATATCAACCATAGGATATGATAGATTTGAAGACTGACCAACCAGCCAGATGTTTCTTTGGGATGTGGTGCAGAAGCATTTGTTCATGGCACCCCACATGTCTATTGGTTGGGATGACTGGATGGTCCGATGTGAGGATTTGAAAGAATTGGGAAGCTGTTGATGGAAGCTTCAAACAATATCGATTATCATTACTGGTTGGTGGTTTGGAACATGACTTTTATGACTTTCCATATATTGGGAATAATGATCCCAATTGACTAATATTTTTCAGAGGGGTTGAAGCCACTAACCAGATTATGATGAGAATAGTGACAATAATGACAAACATGGTGACAATCAAAACAGTTGTATAAACACTGGACTGGCTGGCTCGAGATATTGTGGTCATTTGGGTCATGTGGGTATGGTCAAAAAATATCCCCTGCCAGAATAAACTGTTGCCTGACTAGTGTTTTTTTCCTTATGATGTTCAACCAGATTGGAGATGATCATCCCCAAGCACTAATATGTTTTCCCGTAGTTTGAGGCCATCAGCCAGAAAACATTTTCTTGGTTTGAAATAATGTGTCATATTTCATAATTTTGTATTTTCTTCATACCACACACGCATACATATATAATCATGTATAATCATGTATATATATATATTAGTATATTATATACAGTACATATAGTATATAACGTATATATTATATAATATCATTACACACCACTGTGTGAGGCTGGGCAGCGCTTATGTGAAGTTGGAGAAGCGTGTGGGGACCAGTTGGGTGCCCAAATGGGATAGCTTCTTGCGGCATTTCGCGCTGGTGCCGCTTGGTGTCAGGGAGCAACGTGGGGTCGTGGTTTCAAAGACATAGTGGAAACATCTGGATCTTGGAAAAAAGAGAAGAAAGAGTGACTTGAAAACAACCACTTAGTACTTGATTGCACTATTGATTCCAACCTCGTAGTTGTTGTAAAGGAGTGGAATCATCCAAGCAGACTAGGGACACGATCGCTGGGTAGTTTCCAGATTTGTGAACTCCACAGCTATGTTGTGTTACGAAGAAGGGTGATGAAAAGTGGTGTTATATGGTTTATTCATCTTCCTCGCGTTGTTTCAAGATCTGGTGAGTGCTTACATTCCACATTCCTGTTCTTTAATTCTTCCTAGTTTCTCCACTTAGTTTCTCGATTTAGCATTCTTGTCGACTTTATTGTCGTGTTTTGTGTTTCTCCATCAGTTCTCCATTCGACCAACAGTTGGTTTCATGGTCGAGATCCGTTGTACCAAGGTATCCCTTGTACTTGCAGCTTGGCCTCGGGATGAGAAACCGTGACTGGGGGATGGTTTATACATGGCTTATGCCATAAATCTTAGAACATATATAGCTTATACATATATAGAACATATATAGAACTGGGGGATGATTACACACTTTGAACAGATTCCAACATATATAGTTTGCGGTGTTTTCACTTCTTTTCACTTTGCATCACAATCGAATGGACACCTCCTCTGTTTCCCGTTAAACAAATCTGCCTTTCCTGCGGCAATCTGGTATTTGGATGTGTTTGGACACATGATCCCTCAGATGTTATATAGGATAGCCTCACACTACCATACACAAAGTGGTTCTTGAGTGTTCTTGCGGCACATGGATTTTTACCACTGGAAGTTCAACAAACTTAGCAGGGGAAAGCCATACCATTCTGTGGTCCCAGTCATATGTGATTTCATCCCCTACATCCACCATGGTTTCTGCGGGGTGTTTAATATGAACGGGGGATTATATGAATTCACAAATAATAAAGCATCATTGTTTGCAGGTTCAATCCTCATTTTTGTTGGTCAAGCCCATTAAAGATCCCAGCAAAATCCCAAGTGTCCATAGAATTTCCCATATGTTCATGATTGTTCATGATTTGTTTGACGTTTTTTTTGGTGGTTAAAATCCCAATTGTCTATAATTTCCATAGAATTCTTCAAAGATTGGGGAATTTCACCAGGCCAAAGCACCACGGTGCCTCGCCTTTTTAGGTTGGCCTTGTCCTGGACGTTGCTGAACTCACAGCTATTGGGACCCAAGGAGATCACATCACTGGATTCTTTTTGGGGGTTGCTGTCGGTTGCTATTGAAAATTGCCATTTATAGTTGATTTTCCCATTAAAAATGGTGATTTTCCATAGTTATGTTAGTTTAGCAGAGGGTACATAAGATATATAAGTTATATAAGATCATCATACATCATTCAAGTGACATTTTCATGATGAGAATAAGAATATATAATTATATGCAAGTAATCACCTTGATAATCGCAATCATATCATAGTCAAGAAGAGTTTCCAGAACCCCCCCCCCAAGCTTGCCGCAGGAGCCTTTGGCCACTGGTTTGCAGCTGGCGGATGGCCAACATCAACAGGGATTTATAACTGAACCATCAACAATGGAAATTGTTAATGGTTTGTTTCAGGGTGGTGTACTGTATTCACCTACCTTGTTGATGTTGTGTTTATTGGTGATTGTCATAAACTATGATAGGTATACCATGGTATACCTATTCACCAACCAGAAAAAATGGGATGGGAGAGTGGTATTTCTTCCATGGCTCACAAAGGAAGGCTGTTTGAGACAACACATGCAATATCTCATTTTCTACAACAATCCATGGGCATGTTCCCCAGAAAACGGCACATGTAGCTACTAAAACTGTTTGGTGGTTTTAAACATCCTGACCAACAGTTGGATGTGGACTGACAAAAAGTGATTTCCAACATGTTTATATAAGTTGTTTCTCCTAGTCAGTATGAATATTCCAATCGATGAAGCCACCGACCAGAGCAGGTTCAGCACAGAAAAACATCATTCTGAACCTGGCCAAATAGATTTGGAAGATGCTGTTTCATGATATCCAGGGGTGGGCTGTCATTCTTTTGGCCCAGCATGTTCTCTACATGTCCAGGAGTGTTTGTTCCACTACTGTTTTTTTTCAGCGTTGGGGCCAGCAGGAGCAGCAACAACATGTGACATTGATTATGCTTGTTATGCTTGTTCATGAATCATCACATCCATGGCTGATAGTTGCAGCAGTAACCAGTTCTGTCACCATTTTCCTGGAGTTGCTGGATCCGCTGATGCCGCTGATGTAAAACTGGTGGAAGCCTATGGTGATAAGTTGAACCAGATCGAAGATGTTTTCAAACATGTTTATCATATCTACTATAGTAGGTAAAAACCAAACGTCTTATCGTATCTACTGGTAGGTAAAAACATGTTGGCGGTCATACTTAGCAAATCTCCGTTTTGTTTGAGGCCTTTTGGAATTTGCTCTGCGAGTTGAGCATGTTGCAAGCCTTTCTACCGCCACTCGGCGCTGGTAATATGCGAAAACTTGGGGCCCAAAGAATGTCATTTCATTTCGAGCCATGAGATGTTTCAACACGACTGCTGCTTTTATATCATGATCATCCCAGTTGACGAATGCGATTGGCATGCATTCACGGGCATTATTTGTTTCGGGAGAGATAGCCGCCTGACTGCATCCAGCAATCTATGCTGGTGAAACCTGAAATGGCTGCTATCAAGCGATCAGGGTCTCTATGCAACATGTGGCTGTCAGTAGATCCGCAACCAGTTTGGATCGTTGATGTGTATAGCGACCCGAAACGACCAAGAGGAAAAATCCTTGAGCCCAGACTTACAATCAGCGTTAAAATTGGGTTGCAATTACCCTCTGGTAAACTAACATAACCATGGAAAATCACCATTTTTTGGGGGGTAAATCCACTATAATTGGCAATTTCCAATAGCTATGTTATTTTACCAGAGGGTACGATCAGCTTTAAAAGTGGGTTGCCATTAAAATCAATTAAATCAATCCCATCCCTCTCAAGAGTTGCTGGCAGGCAGAGGATGTTGCACCATTACAATCCACCCAGTGTCTTGGGTTTTATTTGGGAGATGGATCCGGAAACTTGTAGTAGATGTAGTAGATGATGCTACCCCGGCAAAAAGAACAACAGAAATATACCATTGTCTCAGCAGCATGTTCTCTTTCTGTTTTTTTGGGTTTGGTATGGTCCCTGGCAATGATCACTTGACAGTGGTGCAAGATTGATTGTGGTTTGACTGGTCGGTTGGATGTGCCACGGGGGTTGAAACTCCCAATCAGTTGACCTAAAACAGGTTTGGAATTCCTGGCAGTAAATCAAGCACAGATATCTACTGTACCAATAGAACACTATGAAACATCTACAGATATCTACCACAGATATCTACCCCAGATATCTACCAATGAAACATGGAATGTTGCGGCCGAAAATTTCCGCCGATCCACCGATCCACCGGTGCCGGACGACCATCTCCAGCTGGTGTGTCAAGTGACCGAAGATAACTTGACCAGCTGGAAGTGATTCATCATGATTCATCAGATTTGATGTTATTTACATTTGATATCATTTTTTAATATGTTATAGCTTTATGATTCATGCCTAACTTTTCATTGCCTAAATCACCTTTGAGTTCTGTCACATATTTCCAGGGTTTTGCGATGCTTCGGGGCGATGCTTCAAACCCACAGGCAATCCATACCCCCGATCCGTACCAAAGCGCAGGTGATCCACACAGATACCCGTCTTGTTGAGGCACAGCCATATTAAATCCATAATTTTGATGGTTAAATCGCCATCAAACACCAATTTTTCGGATCCTAAAATCCATGAACACCTCATGAGAATCACAATTGTCCCCATGTGAATTCCACCATTTTTCGATGTTCGAATATCCACAATTTTTTCGGATCCATTGCACCCCTAGGCAGCTTCTTTAGCGCCCTGGCCTTGTGTTGGCTTCTGGAAGAGGCCTTGTATAAACTGGGCAACATTTGCTGGTGCCTGGCTGAAACTGCTGGCTGGTCATGGGTATTTGGTGATTTATATAACAGGTTTGCTAGTGAAAAGGGACGAACATTGCCCATTTATAGATCTGTTCTATGATGATTGACTATACTAAAAATGGTGATGTCCAATAGCTAGGTTAATTAACCAGAGGGTACAGTATCTAAAATGCTATGGGGGTTGACCATCAACGATGAGGAAAAAAAAGGAACAAAGGGGGAAACAATACAATAGCAGCTTAGCACTAAGGGTCAATGGAGATGAACTGGATGAATCATGCATCCCAAATTGATACTGGATGATTCTGAAAATAGCCACTGGCAGTGGAAACTAATCGCAACCAACCCCTTATGGCAATGGCAGGGCGGCCGTCAGTGACTGGGGATCATTGGGATAATTGTTGGGGGATCATTGGGAAATATTGAGGATATAGGTCTGAAATTGGTCTGAACACGTAGGAACATGTATCCTCAATTGATGGCAAATTGGGAAATGGATTCTCGACAAATGGATTTTGGGGTACTTGATTTTCAAACAAACAAAAATACGAATGTGCCTGGAAATTCTGGAGGAATCATTGAACATCCACTTAGCGTTTGCACCTTGGGTAGGCTAGGGGTTCATGCCGGAGTGTCAGCGCAGTCGAGAAAGTTTCAGCCCCAACAGCCAGCGATGTTGGATGATGATTTCAATGGGAATCCAATATAGGCTTTGTATATGGTAGGTACCTCCAATTTAGGTTCCTGGAATGGCCATTGATGATTGTTGTTGATGCCACACACGTTTTTTTCCTGCACTTTGTTGGTTCCAGCGCAGTACATGTGCATTTTTTGTATCAGATGTTTGCGTCGGTATGGGGTCAGAACCTTAGTACATTAGTGACCGTCCGTCGTGTGTAACTGGGCCCACTTTAGTCGCTAATTGATTCAATCGCCCTCCAGTGTACAAAGTAACACACGTAAATACAATATGGAAAACCTATGGTTGTCCTAGGAAATGGCCTTAACGTTGGATATTCCATGTCTACAGTTTGCCGAGGCAATGAAGGGAGGGCCACCAAGCTGATGATTCCAGTGACAGAGAGGTCACACACCTCATTCTCGCAGCTTGGATTCCGAACCTTTGAGGATAAGAATTCTTTTGGTCTGATACGAGTTATGTTTCGAGAGTTTCATCGTTGCTTGCTGCTTTAAATCCCATTGTCATTCCATCATTTTTGCAACTTTCACCCGACTCTTGCCATCAACAAAACTACAAAAACGTGCAAAAACAATCAACATCCTTCCGCTTCTTTTAAGCATGGCTATGGATCAATATCTATTCAAATATATATATACATATATATATATTTACCATTTTCGAGATGAATATGAAGAAAAACAAATCAAGAAATCCCAGCTAGTTTGGTTCATTCACCCGGGGAATTCAAAATGGTTTTGACTCATCCCCAGCCTCTGGGCCCAGGACTTGTGGTAAATGGGCCCGGCGCTTCACTTGCGCTGCGCTGTTGCTCTGGATCATCTTGTGGCCTTACGGGGTGCCATGGAACAAGCGAGCGCATGTCCGAAGATCATTGACATGATTTCTGGTGGGTGGAAATACTCTACCCATATTTTCCCATATTTCTATGGTGGTACATTTGTACCCATATCTTCCTATATTTTCATCACCAGAACATGTCTTGGGATTTCTTTGGTCTTTCTTTTTCCGGGACGATGATCCCCATGGAGACACGTGATTTAAACAGCCAGGGGTTTTACCATGTTTCACGACTCTACCTTTGTTGGTGCAAGTTGCCTGTGTTTGTTGGATGCACCCAACCATTTGTTAAAGCTTCAATTTTGCTATAAAATCAAGCTGGTTGTTGGATCCTTTTTCGTGTCGATTATATAGACGCTTGTTTCTGTTGGGTAAGTCCACATGATTGTGCGTTGATCCCCCATCAAATCCACCTTGTGTTATCATGTTTCACTGAATCAGATTCCCAATTCTTTGTCATCAACTCTGCATGGGCTTGTTCATCAACAGTTTCTCGATTAATGTTGCAATGTTTGGGCCTGCCCCTTTTCAGGCACGCCCAGACACCAGAACAAGTTGGCAACATATATCCCACAAGGGGGTTCTATTGGGGGGCACCCTTAAGTTTCCAATATATGAAAATTAAACCTTGTAACATATTGTAAAGATGTGTTAGGCCCAAGATGGCTCCAAACTTCTATCAAACATATTTAGAACCATCAAATCTGTGGCCAGGTGTTTAGCAATTTCAACATATTTTTGAGAGATTTTGAGTGTTACTGTGGATGGCTGCGAAGTTCTGCACCTTGGATGGTTTTTCAAGCCTATAAATAATGCGATGTTTACCACGGTCCTCAACTGGTGCTGGGGATTTCGCCCTATTTCGCGAGGCACCTGGGAAGTTGATCGAACGCCAGGCCGGTACAACCGGTGGTTCCATTGTGGTATTCATTTCATGGAAGACATTGATGTGTTGATGTAAAATATCAATAAATGAGGATATACATTATAGAAAATTATATAGATAGCTAGCCCGGCTAGCCCTACTGGTAGCTCAAAATTGGGACTTGGCCAACCAGAGCAAAGAGTTCAAGGTAAAACAAACCATGAAACCATAGCCAAACAAAGCAACAAACGATCAAAACAAGATGGAAAGAAAGGCTCATTGGGAAAATGCCTCACATTTCGTCAATCACAGACAAATCGGGATGTGACAATCAGGACCGATGCAACAATCAAAGGGGACTTAGCCAATCCAGGTGATCCACGGATCACCTTGCAGCACACCTGGATTTTTGTCGTCAGGACAACGTCTTAGCGCTCTCATTTATTCACTGTCTCTTGGATTTGCCTGATTTGTTCAGGGTGCGATGGTTCAAACGTGTTGTTGATTTATGTTCAAATTCACATGCGCGTATTTGATGGGGTAGACTGTAGAAGCAATAAGAAACCCAAATCATGTCAGGTCAATAGCCCCGCATTGTAAAATCATGTATGGATCTTGAGGCTTTACCCGATTAACTATTCTGGACGATGCAGTTGAAAAAAATCAGCTGTACTTCCCAGTGACATCATGCGTAGTCAGCCATACAACCGAGGTTACTTCAGTGGAGTCTTGTTGGCACATGGTCTTCACGAAAAAGCACCAGCATTTGGGACTGCATGAATTCAGGTGGTGCTTGGACCGGTTGAGCCACTGCAGTTGTATCTGTCAAAAGGTGCTCACCAAACTGAAGCCAGAAAATCTCTAGAAGATGCGAATTTTCAGCTGGTGAAAGTCCTTCACAAGACCCAGGGAGTCTGAGCAAAGCGATCTAAAAGGTTCAAGGACCTTCCATGTTTCAAACACAATGATCAGGAAAGAGGTTGGCAAAGTAGGCAAAGAATGGCAAAGAATGGCAAGGATAAGAAGCAGCCTCTTCATTCCTCTTCCATCTGGTTGATTGATCACAAGTAATATATTATATTAATTTCCAATATTCAATGGACTAGGTAGGCAGCCTGCGTTTTCACCACCAGCAGGTACATGAATATCATTTAAGTCAGCCCTCCCCTGCCCCTGCAGATGATGATAGCCAATAAAAGCAACTTGTCATTTCAACCACTGATCGAAGGAAGTTTCCAAGTCAAACTTCCGACAATATGGACAGATGGAAAAGCAGAGGTGGGAAGAGTCAGAGAAGAGAAGAGAAGAAGAGAGAAGATCAGAGACGAGAAAGAGTCAGAAGAAAGAAGATGCAGGTGCGCGAAAAGGTAGGAAAGTCGCAAAACAGTGTGTTTTTCCAATGATTTGTGGCTCCGGAGGGTCGAAAAGTTGGCTCGCTAAAGCGGCGGTTGCGGAGCCAGCTGGCCAGATTGAAAATTGCACGCCGCTGCGGCGCGAAGCACATTTCCAAGTCAAAATTTACGAAGCACACCAGCTCTGGACCACTCTTGGAAGTTGAGATGTCGAAAAAGTGCACGCTGTTGTGGCGCGAAGCACATTTCCAAGTCAAAATGCACAAAGCACACCAGCTCTGGACCACTTTTGGAAGTTGAGATGTCGAAAAAGTGCACGCTGCTGTGGCGCAAAGCACATTTCCAAGTCAAAATGTACAAAGCACACCAGCTCTGGACCACTTTTGGAAGTTGAGATGTCGAAAAAGTGCACGCCGTTGTGGCGCGAATCACATTTCCAAGTCAATATGTTAAAAACATCACATGTTTGGACCACTTTTGGACGTTCAGATTTCGTTTTGCGTGGCAGGCGCAAGGGATTGTGCACCTTGTCATAAGTGACCAAAATGAGATGGTTTTGTAGCTGTTTCAAAAACGTTGGCAGGTGTGGGGCATTTGAAGAGGAGCTGCAAAGATGATCAAAGATGCATTTCGCGTGGCAGGCGCAGTACAAGAGACATGTTCATCGGAGATGTTAGGATGTCACGCTGATCCTCGAGAGGGGTTGCATTTGGAGCATGAGATCTTCAGGTTTGCTAAGATGATTTTGCGTGACAGTTGCAGCACTTCGTATGACCTGGCGTGACTTTTTGCTGGCAGGTGCAGTACTTTAGACGTCTTTAGACAGATGGATTGGAAAAACCGCAAAACGCATTGGTACGAGGCCGTCAGCTCTGCACTCAACTTTCCATTTTTGAAGGAAGTCTCGCAGAATTGCTTCGTTTTTGATGTTGTCAACTTCAAAAATGGAGGAATTCTCGCAGTGTTGTTTCGTTTTTGACGTTATCAAGTTCAAAAAATGAGGAAGTCTCGCAGAATTGCTGCGTTTTTGATGTTGTCAAGTTCAAAAACTGAGGAAATCTTGCAGAATAGCTTCGTTTCCAAGCTTGCAGCTAGGCAGATAGATAGATAGACAACTACAACTACAACTGCAACTACTACTACAACTACAAAATGCAAATATATGTTGCATTATTATGCTACATTACACTACACGAATTGCACTACACAAATTACACTACACGAATTACACTACACTACGCTAATTTCACCAATTTTCACCACACTACACTAATTACACTACAACTACAACTACAACTACAACTACAACTCAACTACAAGTACAACAACAACAGCAACAACAACAACAACAACAACTACTACTACTACTACTACTGAAACCACCACCACCACCACAGCTACAACTGAAATTACAACTAAACTACATTTCACTACGCTACGCAAATTACACTGCAGCACACTACAACTACAAATATAAATGCAACTACAACTACACTTCATTACACAACACTACACTACACTAATTACATTACATTACGCTACAACTTCAGCTGCAACTACAACTGCATCTACAAATGCAACTACAACTATATTACACAAGACTACGCTACACTACGCAAACTACACTTCACTGCAAATACAACTGCAACTACACTACTTTACACTACACTACACTAGGCTACACTACACTATACCACACTACAGTACACAAGACTACAGTACCCTACGCTACACTACACTAATTACACCACACCACAGCTGCAACTGCAACTGCAACTACACTACGCGAATTATATTAATTACACCACAACTACGACTCCACTACACTACAACATACTACAGCTACAACTCTAATTGCACTACGCAACACTGCATCCAGCAGTTGTAGTGAGGTGATCACTGCAACCATTGCAGCCACTCCAAAACACACAACTCCAACAACCACCTTTCGGTCCATCAGTGGATTCGCTCTGCCATCCATGCATCACAACAACGAACCTCTCCTATAGGTTTCCTCTTTGAAACTTCCGCCACCGCCTTGCGCGATATTACTTGTAAGCTGGTGGCCATAGCGAGAATCCGTTTCATAGTGGTTTCTGGGGTTATTTGGTTTCCAAATCGCCAACTGAAAGAGTTTATTCATCATGATTGGCTGGTAGTTTGAGATATTTCTTTACTTCTCCCATTTTGCCATTTGATTTTGGAGGATGATTCAAAATCATTATGCTAGGTTCAGATGCCACAGGAGTTGCTGGACGGCTTTCCAAGATCCAGCTTTCCCAAGTCAGCATGCAAAAAAGGCATCATAATTTGGGAGAATTGAGCTCGAGAGAATCCCGCAAACAATTCTTTATGCAAGATTATGCAAGCAATCACCTGATATCAAAAGAAGGCCTTGCCAACTCCCAAGTCATTAGAACCTAGCATAATGCTGACGAGGCGATGGCATCTTACCACATCACCCTCACCTTCGTGTGATTTTTTAGTTGATCATTAGTTCATCCTTAAGATGCTCTGGCCTATATATTAATATATATATAGATATATTCACATATGGTGTCATATATTATATATGTTATATAAATATGTATAAATATATATATATATACAAATACATAGTATGTCCGAACAAAAATTGGTACCTGCACCTCCCCAAAACATCCCAAAACCACGTGACCTTGCAAGGTCGGAAAGGGTCGATCCGCGATCAGCGCCAGTGGCGCCAGCCTGATCTTGGCCACCGTCTTCCTGGGCTTCAGTTGCTTTGCAGCAGAAAAATATGGATTTTGTAGACAAACATGATGTAGTTGATAAATATGATATGATATGATATGATATGTTATGATATGACGTGATATTATATATATATATGCATTTATTTATTTATCGATATATGACATGATATTTTTGATTTTGTATAAAAATATGATATATGATATGATATGATATGATGTAGTTGATAAATACCAAATGCTATCACATGATAGTTGGTTGAGTTGATTGTTCATTGTAGGTGGCTGTACTACAGATGTTTTTTGTTTTTGGTGCTCCACAATAGGGATACGAAACAGAAACATGGGATGGGATAGCGTTTTTTTGGGAAATGATTTGCGAAATTGTGGGATTTTCTCAGCTAGCCATGTTCATGTTCCCATGGCAAACGGTTTTTTTTTAACATTTGGTCAAACAGTGCCAAACATTGTTGAACCATTTTTATATGTGTGATTTCCCATTATATATTCAGTTATAGATGGGTTTTCCCATTGACATGTTCATTTAGTGCGGTGACTTCCCACTTAGATCATTTGGTGCGATGGTTTTCCCTAGATTTACACATGGTAAGTTTACCAGAACTGAACTTTTATACCATAACAACCTGGAAACAGTTTAATATACAGTATCAGCTGTATTTCATACACACATAAATAAATAAATATATATATATAAATTAAAAAAATAAATGATAAATAAATAAATAAATAACATCCCCGATTCCGGTCGATGATTTTCTCATTGAGCAGTGTTCAAAGCCCTGTGTTGTCCCTTTTAACTGGTGAGTTGACAAAGATTCCGCAAGTGGATTGTGATATGTCATGATATTTCATTGTGATATGTCAAGATACGTCAACTAATCACCAACCAGGGGGTTGAACAATCATATCCATTCATATCCATTCCAATGATATATCTCGATATCCCACAAATATATATATAAGGGTTAAAAAGCCGGAAGTGTGGACACAGTGTTTTGGGAAAAAAACGCCATACCCTCTGGTAAACTAGTAACTAGCATTTTGCTATTGACAATTGCCATTTATAGTTGATTTAACCATTGGAAATGGTGATTTAAACATAGATTTTTGTATGTTTACCATTTGACCACCTTTTGATCACCAAGGTGATCCTGCTACTGCCACCAGCTGGGCCTGTTTCTTGTTGCTGATGCTTGGCAGAAGGAGATCCCCTCCGGGAACTCTTGGGAATCCATAGCATCTATAGAGCATCCATAGAATATTTGGTTGGTGGTTTGGAACATTTTTTTTTTCCATATATTGGGAATAATAATCCCAACTGACAAATATTTTTCAGAGTCTCCGTAGCCGTTTTGGCTCAAGTGGTGGCTATTCTGAGTATCCCTGTGTCCAAGTTCGCACCGGGGAGTATCCCTGTGCACAGATGGATCCGCTGACAGGAGAAGTTGATGAAGACCAGGACAAGAACAAGGCGGAGCAGTTGAACGATCTGATTTCAAAGTGGCGCATCAAGTCAAGGGTGTGGCCAAGGTCACTCCAAGGAAGGTCATTCCAGACTGCAGCAGTTGCGGTCACACTGGGCTGTCCGTGGAGCAAGGTTTCCGAAAGCAACAGGGGAACGAAGGCCATGACATGCCGGTGCTGGTGCGAGAGTCACCTGAGAGCGACTTGGCTCGCAAGTCCATTGAGAACTGTCTCTTCAAGCTGAAAGATGAGAAGGCACATTATGAGCGCCTCTTCTGGCAGGAGGAGCTGCACACTTCCCTTGGCAATGGTCACTCCAACCAGGCGCTGAATCTCTTCGTCACAGAGAGCCCCAGAAGTTTGGTTGGACTCTATCGATGGGCTTCCCCCTGGCTGCTGGCTAACACAGGAGCGTGCTGTCACGTCTGATGGAGACATTCTTGAAAGGTTTGCCCAGATGTGGCGTGCCTGATGGATCAAACAATTACTGTACATGTTCAGTCAGGCCAATGGGACCAAAATTGTGGTTTCTTGGAAAGGACCGTCTAACCTATGGAATGGACTCATCAACCGCATCAGCCCTGGACAGTTTACCGCTTACAGGGCAGCCAAAGGGCCTGATGAAGTTTCGCAGCCGGACTTGGCAGCTTTGCGTCCTGGTGCTTGTCATGTCCTTGTTGGATTTTGCCAGGCCATTGAAAATGGTGCACGTTGGCCAGCTCAGCTAGCATCCGGCTTTGTCTCTAGTTTGGCCAAAACTGTCCAGGCGCAGTGTGTTGATGAGTTCCGGCCGGTCGTTGTCTATAGCTTGGCCTATCGCGTTTGGTCTGCTGAGCGGGCTCGTGAGGCACTGAGGTCGGTCGTTCACTTGTTGCCAGATAGTGTCCAAGGAGGGATTCCGGCACGTCAAGCAAAATCCATTTGGTTTCGGCATACGCCCCGGAATTGGCGTATTTGAATGGTGAGGGCCTGCATGGACTTCTCATTCCACGGTATCCACTTTGTCCTTGTTGGGCTTCCCTACAGCTACGTTGCGTGCTTGGGCTTGGTTTGTGGCTGTGGTCAAACTCGTCGCTTCAGAGTGCGGAGGTCGGTTGGTGCTCCTCTTCCCTCTACCTGTGGACTTCCGGAGGGTTGTGCCTTGTCAGTCTTTGGTATGACGATGGTTGACTGGATGTTGGATTGGTGGCTCCGTGGCCTGAAAGTGCGGGTGGACTTACGCACATTTGTCGATGACTGGCGGGTTTTGTTTCGGGATGCGACTGCCTTCGAACGTATCTGGACAGCTCTTGAGCAGTTTACAGGCCACCTGGATTTGGTTATTGACATGTCAAAGACTCGGCTGTGGTCCACTGACGCAGGTGCCAGGCGTAGTTTGCGTGGCGGGGATGTGGCTGTTACACTAGCAGCCCGCAACTTGGGGGCACATCAGAACTTCAGCCGACACTGCCACGATGCTGAAGTGCAAAAGCGTTTGGCCAAGATGCCACTCATTTGGGTTCGTCTTAAAGCCAGTCAAGGACCCTATCGGCACAAGGTCACTGCAATCTATATGATGGCATGGCCGCGGGCACTCTACGGAATTACTTTGGTCTGACTTGGTGAAATCACTATCGTGCGTTGCGTGCTGCGGCTGTTCGTGCATTTCGGGCAGACCGGAAAGGGGCCAATCCCTATCTTCATTTCGCTTCATCTGCCTTTCAATCTGACCCTGAAGCATGGTCGATCTTGCAGACAGTCCGTGATGTCCGTGAACTGGGTTGTCGGGATCAGGTTGGATAAGCCCTTGCTCTCGGTAACGGTGATGGTTGCCAGCCAACGGACCCACTCCCCTTCTTTTGTCTCGTCTCTGTCGGCTTGGCTGCGAAGTTGGAGGTCAAAGGTTGATTCAAGATCGATTTGGTACATTCAGTCTTATGGCCATTGCATGGGATGAGCTCTATCCCCGCCTCAAGCTTGCATAGGTTCATGTCCTTGCTCGGGAGTTGGCTCATCGACCCACTTTTGATGGACTTGAAAATGTGGATTTGCCTGAGCTCCAGCGTGTCCTTGCGACCTTTGGCCCTGTTGACTGCAGGTCTTCTTGCGTTGCCGCCTGGATGGTACACTTTTTACCCAGACTGGGCGTGCAAAGTTCCGTGCTGGAGTTAGATCAAAATGTCCGTGGTGCCCCGCCAAAGATGGATTACACCACGGGCCTGGATTTGCCCTCACTTTGCCCCTTGTCGTTCCCATCTTACACCTGCTCAGCTTGCTGTCCTTCCTTTGCTTCCACCGTGCTTGGTTGATCATGGGTGGCCAGTCATTGTTCCGGAGTGGGAGGTGGTGTCAGGTCTGCTGCTAAGGGATGATGGACTTTGTAGGATGTCACCAGTAGAATCCCCGGGCCCAGTCTGCAGCTCATCTGAACAGCTTAAGTTGCTTCTGGATGGTACAAGCGCCTTTCCACGAGAGGCCAACTCCGATATGCAGCCTGGGCAGTTGTTCTGGGTGCATTGGTACGTTTGACAACAGGTTGCTCATGGGGGGACACGTGGTCAGGCTGTGTCAGACACGACCAGAACTGACAGCGGTGCTGCACGCAGTTGTTTGGGCACTGAAGAGGAGCTGCTCAGCGCGCTTGTAGTGTGATTGTCAAGGAGTTGTGCGTGGCCTCAATCGACTGCTGCAGGGACGTCCAGTGAAAAGGAATGCGCCGCATTCTGACTTGTTGTGGTCCCAGAGAAGATGGCTCGTGTGGTGGCTCTTCTGCCATGGCCAAGTGGGTTGTATGCTACAAACTGAGGTGGGGTGTCGACATGGTGGACCGCATCGGCCGTGTCATTTTCACCCAGTTAGGGCGTCAGGCCTGCACCCAAAGCGATGTGGCCCTTCTTCAGGCCGCAAGGACCGATCATGGACAAAGCTGGGTCGCGAGGTCGTCCGGCCGCCCCGTGGCTCTTCAATAAGGAGCAATAAGGAGTAATATTTTTTCAGAGGGGTTGAAACCACCAATATTTTTTTAGAATCAGAATGTAGAACTAAAGAATGAGGATATCCATCCCGTAACTATGATTGGGATTTTTTTAGAGCGTATAGAATCAGAACCTATAACTATACACTATATGCCCACTCAATTACTAAGTAATGATCACCTGTTCCCTAAAAAAACAACATGAGAAAGGGCGGCCATTGTTGAAATAATATAGCACCGTGAGCAAAGCGCATGACAAGAGGCACTTTGCAGACCGATAGACAGCAACGATTAAATCTGATGTTTTCTGAGAAAAGCAATACATAGGTGGCCCAAAAACATAGAGACATGATTTCATGTGAATTCTAATATATGTTATCGGTGCTTAGTTCTGTTGTTCTATCTGTTGAACGACATGCAATGCAATCCTTTTTGTTGGCTCATATTTTTCCGTATCTTATCTTGTCTTAGCTGATTTTTCTATACTACATATTTATCTTACTCATATTTGATCTTGACCTTGCCTGATATTATTCCAGCGTTCCACGTTTTATCTTATAATATCGTATGTTCGATCGTGTTGCCTTGTGTTATCTCATGTTATCTGTGTTAAAAAATATCTTACCTATCTTGTGTATGAATCTATCTTATCTATCCATCTATGCATCTATCTATATTTCCATCTATCTACAATATCTATCTAGCTATCTATCTATAATCTATATTTTGTTCTTTCTTTTTATCCATCCTTCATCTATACAAAAACCTTTGGTCAATGGAATTCTGCCCATCCCCCAGGCCGGCGCAATGTTTGTTGGTTTACGGCCTGGGACGTGGCGAAGATCCCCTGGCGAAGGTCTTTGGCGCGTGGCCCTTGCCGTTGCTCAGCATTCCTGGGGGGTTGGCCACAGAAAAAATGGGGAGCGCGCCAGGAAACCGTGGGGATTTTTAGGGAATTATGGTGATTTATGTGTTTTTTGATTTTTTTTTGTGGATTTCACATATTTATATACAGTAATCATCAACAAATGGTATTGACTTGATTGAATCATCATGTTTATGCTAAAATTATATTTGGATATTCAGGATTTTGTCAATGAAGAATTCGGGTATGATGGATCATATCCATACACAACTATGTAATCAGAGTTTGGATGCTTTCCACATCAAGCAAGTCTGGCGGGTGATGGGATCTGAAACGTAGACCATTCATGCTATCAGGGCAATATGAGGCATCAATATGTTTTGACCCCGTATTTTTGGGCAAAAGGTAGAGGGAATGGTAAGTGATCAGCTGAAAACTTGGGATTCTAGAGTTGGAACAAGAGGAGATAAACATAGATACGACAAAGCATTTCCGGAGTTGAGCTGTGAAAATGTCAATCGAGATACCCAGAAAAAGAACTTACAGGAAAACTATCTATCAATGAATTAAGGTTGAACAGTTCCATGCAGTTCCAAATCCTACAATTTTGTTCCTGGAAATGACAATGTTTGGGTTACATGATTACATGTTAAATTTGATAGATACTGGTGAGTATACCATTCGGGGCAACACTACTTCTGGCGGGAAATTGACTCTGTTGAAACCAATTTATCATCAGGATATGCAGCCCTGCAGGTACTATACAAAGCGCAAAATGGCCATGTGAAACAGACCAGTTGATCATAGCACCCCTCGAAAGATAGAAAAACACAATCCGACTTAAACCGTGCCAGATTGCATGTTTTCTTTTTGCGGTTGCTCTCTCTCTCTCTCTCTCTCCCTCTCTCTCAATCAATATATATATATATACACATACATATACATGTCGACACACATACATATATATATGTATATATGTACATATGCATGTTTGAGTTTTTTGAGATATTACACAGGGTTGCCACCCACAAAAGTCTGTATGTCACATACCACTCGCCATGCGGATTTGGCCGGACTGAGGCTCTTTTCGGAACTGGCTTTAGGGATCTACATTTTTCAATCCCCGGCCAAGCAGATGTGCCCCTGCTGAGTCTGGTTAATCCTGGTGGTCCCACGTGGTGTTGTTGGTTAACCTGGTAAGGTCTTTGGTTAGTGAAGGAATATGTGCCCTTAGGATATGTAAGTTAAGCGAAATACATATGCCATTCTTTGATTTTTCTCCCAGGTAATTATCTAAGTTATCTAGGTCTATAAAGCCATGGCCTCTTCTTTGTCCAGGGGTCAAGCCAAGCAATCACTTCACTTTGGGGAGATCCCCCGAGAACTAAATAAACTGGCTTGGTGAAGTACTCCAGTCGTTTGCCCATTTGACTCAACACTGGTTAGTATTTAATATAGAACTAACCAACTACATTAACCAATCTTGGGCACACTAAGCAACTGTTTAACCAACTAGTACTGGCAACACATGATAATATATGTACGAACCAGTCAAGTCAGAGTGTCTAAGGCCTGAAGGCAGCCATCTACCGTAACGAGATTGACACCAAGTCTCGGCTTCACCTCACCTACTTTCTGGTAATCAAACATGGCTTGCTGGAAAATGTTCGTTTAGTGTTTAATGGTGTTTAAGATAGCGTTTTAGATTCTAAGATAGTGTTTTAGAATGTTTTAGATGGGGATTAATGGGGATTGCCGGGTATTTAAGATGATTTATCGTTTGGTTATTTAAGATAGCTAACCACAACAGGCTGATTTACAGATGATACACATGATTTACCGTTCAATAAACAGCCTGGTGGATTTTCCAGCTCACGGACCCAGGCTGGACGTCTTGTTGGGTTGGCAAGGCGCTCTGGGAGTTGCAAATTGGGAAATAAGCGACGGAGAGGAGTCAAAAAGCATTTTTTACACATTGTATATTTGTATACGTGTGTTGTGTACTTATTGCATATATAAATATATATATATATTTATTGATTTATTTTTCTATGTGGGCATATATGTTTGCATATATATATTTATTATGTGGGCATATATATATATGCTAATATGCACATGTATATCATATCGATGTAGGTATACATATATAAGTGTTCTCATTTTCATGTTATTGCTGCTAAAGGGTTGTCGAGAAGAACTTTCTTGTCGGGGCTCACCTCTTTTTGCGCTGTCCAATGTCCAGCAGGCTTCAAACCGGTTCATAACGGTCAGTATTGGTTCTGAATGGATTGGTTTAAGGGACAATCTACAGGAAACCGCAGGTTTTCCCACTAAATAGGGGTTTTCCTGTAAATTTTCCCTTAAACCAATCCATTGAGGTTAGTAACGATTGGTACTGGTTAAGAGTTACGAGTGGTCATGAATTATCATGCACATTATCCAACATCAATCATAGCCAAAAAGAACCACATGCAGTAAATGCTGGAGTTCTATCAACCGTTTTATTTTGGTGTTTCACCACGGCAATACCGCGTGGCTTAGGAGCACCAAGCCACGCGGCAGGGGACTACAGCTTGAACCAGATGGCGGTGCTCCTTTTGGTCCTGTCGCTTTTGGCCGCCTTGGCCCAGTTGATGCAGAAGCCACTGGCGCGCTTCATCACCAATTGAGGTCGGGAGATGTCAGAAGTATCTCGATGAGAACCCCAAGGGGTTGTTAAGCACCATCAGCCTTTAATAAGGTGGGAAAGCCAGCAAATATACCATTTGAAATTAACCATGCAGGGACCTGAACATGGTTTTACCGTATACACGGGGGATTGCAGCGCCCAGCGACATATTTCTGTAGAGTATCTGAGCAAAAATCGAATGGACAGGAAAACCTAGAACCTGGAATCAAGACGTGAGTGATTGTTTCCCGCTGGTTATTATTAGGGGTCACCTCGATAGAGCAACCATTAGGAATATCATTGACGATAAATGATAAAAGGTGTACCAAACTGGCCATCCTTAACGAAAGGATCACATTGATCGCGTCAACTTTGTGGCACTGGAGCATAGCCGAACCCAAGTTGCACCTCTAAAATGGCTATCCAAATAGACTCTGATTGTA